TACTCCCTGAGTATTGAGCTCCCATTGCCAAATGGTCTCCTGTGCTAGCTTCTGAGTGATAAGATCAGTGAGAGGGAGATCCCAGCTCGTAACCTTTTGCCCAAGTGTTTCCAATGCTTGGATGTGTTGATTCATCACATCAGCAAGTTTTCCTAACTCTGTTGGAGAGTCTCGTTGCAGTGGTGGATAGTCTCTTAAGATAGCCCAATGTCTTCGAAGAATCTTCTTTTTACAATCGTATTTCTTTTTGAGGATGTCGATTGCAGTTGTGTAATTTTCCTCTGTTGTGGCTAAGGAACTAATTACAGCAGCCGCTCTTCCCTTGAGCAATCCTCGTAGATACTGGAACTTCTGGACGACTTCCAAATCTGTGTTGTCGTGGATGACGCTTGTGTATGCATCCCAGAATGTCGGGAATTCTTCAATTGCTCCATCGAAGTCAGGGACCTTGATCTCTGGTAGACGAGGTCGACGAGGTAGGTTGTTGACGACTGTTGGTGGCGTAGCTGGCGCTGGAGAATGTGATATTGATGATTCTCTGGATCTCTGCAGCTCGTGCTGGTCGAGGAGTTCTAGAGCATCTCCAACAGCAGCATCGAAAGAATCCTCCAATTCAAATCGCTTTTGTACCTCGTCTTCATCTAATTCTTCTAATCGTTCCTGGATCTCTGGAAGAGCCTTGAAACGATCCTGGAGTCGTTGAAGAGCAGCTCGAAATTGGTAAGGCTTTCGGTCTTCCTTGGGAGTGCCTCTATAGGTTTCCACGATTGTAGAAAAATTGGTGATAGCAGCTTGTATTGAACCGCGCCTTCTCCGAAGGGTGGAGCATTCTGCTTCTTTAGTGATGTTGGCTCCGGTTATTGTAGTGTAGTGGTAGAGGTGATTCACGGATCACGTAGCTTTACACTTATTTTCGTCGCCGATATACTCACTACCGAATTTGAATTATTTGACATACGGCTCGAAGGACCATAAATTATGTACACTCGTTCAGTGAATTAATACTGAAGAGG